TGAGGCAAGAGGCAAAAGCCTTCATCTGTTCTAAATGAGTTTGAATTGGGGGGAAATTCTTTTAAAATAAAAATAACGGATCTACTTTACGTATCACGCCTTTTTTTTCCATTCGCATGCAGAAAGTTACTAACATTTTTTTTAAAAAGCTAGATAAACAAAAGGAAAAAGGAACAAAGATTTCGACACTAAACATCAATGGAAAATAGAGACTCTGTCATGATGTCAGAGCTAATCTTTGAATAAATGAATAGTAATATAAATTGATGGATCCATTCATGCAACTTTGATTTTACCGGATTACATCAAAACAGAGAAAAAAAGTATTGTCTTTTCACTCTCTCTTTCTCTATAAATATACACTGCGCTTTATGCAGCTCTTTAATTCTGACGTATTCGCTACGACAAAGTAGACTGATTTCCGTTCGCTGGACAAATAATCCCAGTCATTTGTATGACTGGCTAAGTAGAAAAGACTAATCCGTGTTCCCCTCAACTTCTTCCTTCAGGAACAGCCCTTTGGTTGTTGTCGAAACCCCGATCTGAGATGCAAGGGATTGCGCCTGCAATTGGTGTGCGGCTCGTCTCCGATATTGGGGGAGTTTCCCGATATTAAACACTCCTTCGGTGGAGATTTTTGACGGCGTCGAGTGGTTTTAGGCGAGGCATCATAAGGCACGCCGCCCCCACCATCTCCTCCCGGTACGGCGGGTGCAATCCCAGGCGATCCAACACGGCCTTTTGCTCCGCCATCGCGGTTTTGAGGCCCCGCAGCTCCACCACCAACTCCTCGTAGCGATCCCGCCAAGCCGCGGGTTTGTCGAGCCACGGGGAGGGCGATCGATCCGCATCGGCCGATGTGGGCATCCCAAATGAAGGCGAGGTGGGATCCCGCGAAGGGCCCTCGCGTTGGGGGGGCGTCAAGCCCGCCAAAGCCCCCGTGAGGTCGGTCAGGCGATGATGATAAAAAGTTTCCCGCGTAAAGGCATCCTGAAGTTGACTTTGCAGGGCATCACACAAATGCTGGAGCTCCTCGCACTCGACCTGACGTCGAGAGGCCCTCAAGTTCGCATTTTTCAGCGCCCTTCGAAGGATGGCGATTTCGTGTTCGCTACTTAAGGCCGCGATGTGGATGGCGCTTCGCCGGCCGTCGATGTTCTCGCTTTGCGTGGCCTCCTTGGAGTCGCCCCCGCCCATCGTCCGATCCTCCCGCTCGCTAGACCCGAAGAACCGATTCAAGCTCAT